GGAATTGAACCAGATGGAACTTCATCTCTTCTTTGTAAACCTGATGGAGCTGGACCGGATGGAGCTGGACCTGATGGAGCTGGACCTGAGAATGGTGGAATTGATCCAGATGGTACTGGACCTGAGAATGGTGGAATTGATCCAGATGGTGCTGGAGCAGAACTTAGACCGCTTGGAATGATTGCACCTTGAGCCAAGATTGCGAATAAGATTGAGTGTAAAATAGCTTGTGAAAAGATCATTGTATAATAGTTGTTGAGTTTTGATATATTTTTGAAAAGTGTTCAAGTTATATCTGCTGGTATAAACAACTGATCTGAAAAGCTCTAAAAATCAGGAAACAAGCTGATATTTATAATGAATTATTACGGTTATTGTATAAGCCTCAAATATATTGTGAAATCAATGATATTTCAATAGACCACCTGAATATTGTTCATTATGACGAATTATATCTTCCAGTGGCAGAGCTTTTTCATAGGCCATGGCCCTTTAGCATATATAGCCTATAACAACAAATTTTTTAGTTATTGCAGGTACAAAGAAGCAATCAATTTATCTCAGCCATCTTAGATTGTGGATATAGATGTAGTTTAGTTTCAGAGTTAGTTCAACATTGATCTAATAATTTCAACGTCAAAGATGTATGGCAAAGCCTCCTGCATAATATTTTTTATAGTTTCGTTCACTATAATTCCAGCTCAAAAAAAGCTAAACTATTCATGATAATCATTATTGTATAAGCTCTGGTTTCTCAAATCAGCAGTTGACCTCTTCATGGTTAGGTCACCATTAAACTTCACTATCACCACCGACTATAGGCTAAGCTTTCTATTCAACGTCGCCAAAAAATTTAATCGCAGTCTGTCAATTTCACGGGTAATCTATGCAATATTGTCGTGAAAATCGGCCGCAATTTAAGGTACATTTTATTTACTTCTTTCCTACCAGGCGAAGATGAGACGTTCGAAAATCACAATTTTACGGCTGTTTATTGCTCATCTAACTGGCTAAATGTCGAAATAATACCCACTGAATGGCCTTGAAACTATCATTTTGCTATTTTCATGATTTCATAGCGCAATTTCAAACTTCAATATCCCATGACCTCTATTACATTTCTAAGTTCAGTTCATCACTCTATTTTGGGTCAACTTTGGAAAGAACTTTGGTGATCTAGATCGATCTGATAAAAGCAACGAACGGATCTTAATTAATTCTCTTTGGTGGATTGCGAAGTGGATATAAAAGGCGCATATGCTAGATCGTTTTAGCAGCCACAAATTACAATACAATTAAGAGGCATTGGCATTAACTGATGTCTAGATTTTAGGTTTTTGCACCCTCTTCAACTTTAAACTAACCTAATCATACCTATTGAATGTGTTAAAAGCTGGAATGATATAATTGGCTATAATTGATTGATCGATTTGAACGCTCAACATTATTTATGGTTATACTTACATGTATATATAGTATAAGTATAATTATCTGTATATATATGTATAATCAATTCAATATTGAACAGACTTATTATTTGACACTATATGTTTCATTCAACTTATAAATTTGTTGATCTGGGTGTAACTTTTTAATTACACTCATAAATGTATTGAGCCGGTCTATATAATCAAGATCTATTCTTTGATTTTAATATAAATTATGGATCATTTAAATCTCGCTATTAATTATACACTGACTAAAAGGTGAAGCTAAATTGTGGTCCTGTTACCGGATAATTTTAAGTTTAAATAATTTGTTTATTTGAATCAGCAAGGTTTAAGGTCTACAAAGAATATGCAATCATAACCAGGTCAAAAGTTGTGCATTTAACGGCTAAGACCATATATAATATATATACTTATAATTTGTTATTAAAAATTGTTTGAAGCATGACGTGTAATTGTTCTTTAAAATTATAAACTGCACTTAATATTTTACATTGCAAACTTCATTAAATATAACATTTTATTAAATATATATCCAAGCAAATGATTCCCGGATATTTCAAACTATACAAGAAAATAATAACAAAACTTTTGATTTTTGTTAATAAGAGAACGAATTAAAAATAACCCTTTTTTTAGTTTTTTGATGTAGTTAAAATATATGATCAACATATTTAAAACAAAATAATTTGGAAATATTTTGAGCTTTCATTCCAACCTGTGAATCTAAGCAGATGATGTTGGTGTTTGTTCAATAGCTGCGCTTTGACCTGATATTTCTGGGGCTTCTGATGGTGGTGGAGTACCTGAGCCTGCTTCTGAAGTAATTGCTGCTGATGGTGATGGAGCTGCTTGTGATGGAGCTGAGACTGCTTCTGATGGAGCTGAGACTGCTTCTGATGGAGCTGCTGATGGAGCTGCTGATGGAGCTTCTGATGGAGCTTCTGATGGAGCTGCTGCTGAGCTTTCATCTAACGGAACTACCGCATCTGATGGTGGTGGAGCTGCTGCTGAACTTCCATTCAATGGAACTACCGCATCTGATGGGGGTGGAGCTGCTGCTGAAGCAGCTTGAGATGGTGCCACTGCTTCTGATTGAGCTGCTGATGGTGCTTCTGATGGTGCTGGACCTGCTTCTGATGGAACTCCTTCTGATGGAGCTTCTGATGGAGCTGAACCAGATTCTGATGGAATTGCTGCTGATGGAATTGCTTGTGATGGAGCTTCTGATGGAGCTTCTGATGGTTGTTGAGCTAATGAAGCTGCTTCTGATGGAGCTTCTGATGGTTGTTGAGCTAATGAAGCTGCTTCTGATGGAGCTGCAGCATCTGATGATGGTGGAGTTGATTCAGATGGTAATTCATCTCTTCTTTGTAAACCAGTTGGGCTTGCTTGTTGTGATAGTCCTGCATCTGAAGGAACAGCTTCTGATGGTTGTGATGATGGAGCTGAACCTAGAGCAGCTGATGGGTATGAACCGGCATTTGAAGCAGATGGAATATCTGATGGTGCTTGTAATAGATCAAAGCCTAAATTTGATGGTGTTGGAGCAGAACTTAAATCAGTTGGAATGATTGCACCTTGAGCCAAAACAGTGAATAAGATTGAGTGTAAAATAGCTTGTGAAAAGATCATTGTATGATGATTGTTAAAGTTTGATATGTTTGTTTGATAATTGTTCAAATTATATTTGATGATATAAACAATTGATTCAAAAAAAATATTTAATAATTAGGAAATAAAGCTGATATTTATAATGATTTGATGTGTTTATATGAGGCCTTGATTTTAGTAATTGTAGTAAAGTCTATGCTTGCAATAATGATATTTCAATTAACCACTTGAATATTGTTAATTATGACGAAATCTATCTTTCAGTGGCAAAGTTATGGTTGTTTCACATTAATGGCCCTTTGGTTTCTATGTATAGCCTATAACAATATTGGTTCTTACAGGAACAATGAAGCAATTAATTAAATCTCAACCAGCTTCAGCATAGCAAAGTATTTCTAGTTTCAGATAAACTTCAACATTGATCTGACAATTATCGTGTAATGTCAAAAGTCTATAACAATGCCTTCATACTTAATAATCATTAGATCTTTCACTGTAACCCCAGCACAGAGTAGCTAAACTTGGTATCATAATCATCCCAGAAGGTGAAATAACTAGTGTTATGTATTAACATTTGATATCTCCATAATCTATTCCCCTTTGAAGCCCTATATTGACTCTCATTACCTATTCTTTTCAGGTAATCAAGTTTATAAGTTCAACGTCGCCAAATCGCGGTCTGCTAATTTCACGGGTGAGCAATCTTGTAGTGATGATACGCAATTTAAGGTAAGTACTTTATTTACTTCTTTCCTACCAAGTGAAGATGAGACGTTCCATGATTCATGATCTGTTATGTGCTCAATAATCATCTAACTGTTGTATCAATAGATGGGTACTTCTATTACAGTTGAGGTACCTTAGATATTGTCCTTTATCATGGATTCATAGCCTCAGCAACCCCTGTATCCCATGTCTTTACATTTCCAAATTCAAGGGTTTACTGGTTTACTTTGAAAGGTACTCTAGACGGCACCTATGTGACTTGTGGAGTGAATATAAGGGGTGCATGCTACATAGGCTATTATTGTTTTAAGAGTCGCAGGATACAATTGAGGTATTGTCATTTATGTGTCTAACTTTTAGAATCTTGCACTAACTTCAACTTTAGAATAGCTTTTTTCTAATTATATACGTCAGCTGGATTGATAATTAAATGTCGTAATATTGTGGCTAAATATAATAGATATTCTTAATTATTTATAAGCTTGTAGCGTCATGATGTCGACATTGATTTCAACGCTCATATAAACAAATTATCGATCAATATATCAACATATTATTTGCTGCAGTTCTTCAATATAAATATATGTATTTAAACAATACTATCAAACTTTATGTATTTTTTTATATACCTTTATAATGAAAACGTTGTAGTACAGTCCTCTTTAGTTAATAGATCTAGTCTCCAAAATATGGATCAGAATTAGACCCTAGTATATTGATTTAGTGGTACAGCTACTTTATAGTCTGCCTTATAATTTTCTGCAAAATGTGATTTTGATTATATATTACAGACAATAATATAGTACCCATGTGGTTGATTTAACACTCGAAGCTTAAATCTAATTAGTTTTGGGCCTAGATATACGTAAGTTGTGCTCATGACTACAATAAAACCTAGAATTACTTCTATATGAGAAGCCTTTCACTTTATAACGATCTCTATAACTAAAAAGTACTTCCACTGTTCTACGTGTCTCAATTTTTATTGAGCTTCAACTTAAGTTAATATCTTATGGTATTAAGTTTTAATCTTTGAGACTTTGACACAGTAAATTACAATTACACAATTACCCAACCAATAGTACTATGTACGATGTCGGATGTACCTACGTATGCCATATGTATTATGCGGTGTGCCTTATTTATTAAAGTTTTATCCTGCATATATCGGTGGACGGTGGAAACTTTAACTACCTTCCAAGTTCCAAGTTCCAATAGTTACTATTCAACATGTACATTATACTAGTGAAAACTATGACTATTAGTAGTGATATAAAGTTATCCGCTCTTTTTAGTCTCAATATTGATACATGATGATGTATATATTTCAATCTTTAGTAGTCTACAAATGGTGTACTTTTTAAATGGATATGAACATAATTTATTGGAATTGATACTTAATATATACTAGACCAAAATTGAAGAAGAAAATAGTGAATATTGGAACCTATAGATTCAAGTCCACGAGAAGTAAATAATTATAAAACCAACCTTTTTTTGAAATTTTTATAATATATATATTTTTCCAGAAAAGAACAACCAACCAAACAAACAAACATAATTTATAAAAAATTTATAGTGTATAAAGTAATAACAAACAATTGATAGAAAAAAACAACTCAATAAACTTTAAAAAGCTTAGAAGGTTGTGCTATTGAAAGTTGGAGCACCAGTTGGGACGGCTGGAGCTGAGCTAGCTTGGGTTGGAGCTGGATGTAATTTTGATAAGAAAGATTTAATTTTACCTAAATCTCTTTTGTAATGTGGTTCTGGAGCTGGTGCTGGTGATGGAGCTGGGCCAGTGAAGTTGAATGGTTTTGAAGCATTAACTTGTGGGAAAGATGGACCATCTAAAGGTTTGTAAGCAGCGGTTTCATTGACATTTCTTTTAGTGATTTCAACTGTGCTTTCATTAACAGATCTTTTGGTGAAGTCAAAGATGTTTGAGAAGTTTAAACCTCTTTTTGAAACTTCAACAGTAGCGTTGATGTTGGCTTCTCTTTTGTAAAAGAATGGTGATCCACTGAAGTTGAAAGTTCTTTTTTCAAAAGTTGATTCATTGACATCTTTATTGAATGGTGATGTGACGTTCAATTTTGGAAATGGAGATGGAGCTGAAGGAGCTGGTGGAGCTAATGATGGAACTGATGGAGCTGATGGAGCTGATGGAGCTGATGGAGCTGATGGAGCTTGAGGGATGTATGCAGCATTAACAGCGACGACTGCAACGACGGTTTGTAAAACTGATGAGACTGAGACCATTTTTGTATATGTGTTAACTTGTTGTGAATAGTAATAGCTTTACTGTTGATTTATCAGATTTTAATTTGAATAAATGATGGAAAACGGTGCAGCTTTATAGATTTTTGGGATCAAATGTTTGATTCTTTATGACACCTTCAATTCATAATTTAAAACTAGAACTACCATATGTTAAATCCTTCAGGGAAAGGGCCTTACTTCTATGAGCATGATAGCTTAAAATCAAACATATTAAAGATTTACAATCAATGCATCAATAAGCCTGAAGATTCAATTTATCTTGAATTTTTCTAGAGTGATTATTGATAAATTATGTGGACTGAAGTTATCTATTCATTTTGAAACCTTGGAGTTCACCAAATGAAGGTAAAGTTCTGTATAACAAAAGAAATTGAAAGACTACTTCCGCTAACAATTCGGATCGACGTTTTTTTTTTCAAATTCATCTGAGCTGTTGTAACAATTTGCTGATCTTCTATAGCTGATAGGAGTGAATTTCACAAAATCTCATAGATTTGAATAGATTTCAGATACACGCGGTTTTTGAAATAGTGGAATTACAACAATTGGATCAGTTAAATCGAGGTACCAGTGGTACAAGTTGAAACGTGAAATATAGATACAAGAGCCTTTATTACTACACAAATACCAACTTCAAACATACCTGTATATAACCACATATTCAATCAATACTTCAAAGTTATCGTTTAAGACTACGTACATTCTGGATCATTTGGGTCCCAATATTTAGCTCGTAGTGCAACAAAAAGATCAAATCGTGCTATCAAATTACTTACGCTAACTTGTGAAATGACTTGTGCAATATTTTTTCCGTTGCATATGAAGCAGGAAAAATTCTAAATTGCGTTTTTGGAACGCAGATCTCAAACGCATAAAAAACGTTAATCGGGGTTCCAGAAAATGATTGTTGAATCTTGATTCTTGACTCTTTCTTGAGGTACAATCTCGAAAAACTTTTCACCTAAGTTACACGATTTCCTCTCGTTTGGTGGTCATAGCTCTTACTTCGAGAGGGATGTTGATCAAGATGTTACTGAAGGGTGTTAAAGTATCATGAGGTGAGGTGCAAACATTATAGTTTACTTAAGTGAGGAAACTGGACGCTATAAAGAACCTCCACAACTCTCATCTTATTCGAATCCACAGCCCCCAGGTTCCCGATTCAGGTTATAGCGCCTGTGGCAGCGGAAAGCATACTTATTTACTGCTAGAACTAATTGCTTCATCATGAATCATGATTCATAGATCAAAGGTCGACTTCTGTAGTATTAAACTAAACTTGCAGTTCGCAAGGAACGAGTGGTTCCTTTCATGTCAAATCGTACTGCATGTATGTAAAACATTTAAGTATCCGCAATAAAATCCGTTTGATCAGATGTCGCAATCCTCATAAGTTATCACTTATAACTTATAATATAGTACTCTACGAATTGAAGCCTAACGCTTTTGTAATACTGTACAAACGCTTATCTCTAGCTGTGCTATACGGTAAATATTACACCTTCTTCTTCAAAAACTGTTGAAGTTGAAGCTTACAAAGAAATTTAAACCTCATTTTTGAATTCATATCTTATGCAAATTATTTCCAAGGCTGCATTTTCAAGTGCATATTACGGTTCATGAATTGACTCGTACTATAAGTTATGACTTATGAACTAAATATTTGACACCTTGATCAAGGTTTAAGGTTTTAAAACGCATATATAATAAGCTTTATTAAACGGCTCATATTAAGCGCAAAAATCCATCAAGATTCTTTTAAAATTTACATATACTTTCAAGTTTCATCTAGTGTTAATTTGTGAGAAATTCGAGTGTATATCCAGATTAGGTATAATTATTACAATAAAACGTTTTTTGTAATTTTAAGTTGTGAAACTTAATTCTCGAATTTCAAAGTTCAAACATAATCTAATCTTCTAACTTACGTGAGCTCCTGTAGTGGGATGTATCTGAGAGCCTGTACCCCTATACTGGATAGTATGCGCTGAAAGGAAATACTTAATAAGATCACGCAATTGAGAGCTGTATTCTGAGATTCTGAGAAATGCTCCTATGGTTTTCATAGTTCTCTCGCATTTGATTTCATCCTTATAAACTTATAACCTAACAGCTTTATTATCACTCTGTCAGTATGTGTTACAAACGTGGTATATGACACTATTGTGTCCAACACTGGGTGAATTCTTTGGGATAAACGATAAGATTGGGATCTTAAGATTCTTGTAACTCAACGGTTGAATCTCTTGTATACTATCAAATCGATCGAGGATTAATTAGCAATTTTGAAGAACCTTCAGAAAAAGAAACTAGTGTTAATCACGGCTTTTGGCTTCTGATTATCCATATTAACAAAGGCTTACAAATAGTTATAATTTATCAGTAATCACTGATCAGATTCATGATTCACAGGAAATATTACAACCTTTTTTCTAGGGATGTGCAACTTTTTAAAAACTCTAGAATCTATATGTAATAATTAGGAGTTATGACTTATATGCAAGTAATTAATGGGCCTCTTGCTTTTGACATTTCGGATACCTCAAGATTCAAGAACCTCTTGAAAGTTTATGGGAATAAAGTTTAAACTTCATATTTGATTGGTGTACAAAGTACATAGCACTACATAATAAAAACCACAGGAAAATCGTTAAAGTTGGTTATATGCAGTGTGCACCTCTGCGCTAAAGTTTCCGTGATCAACAATGTAGTATTAATTTAATAGTTAAAGGTTGAAAAGTAAAGCTCGAGATACTACCCAAGGGCCAATACCCATTGGTGAAGGGCCAATACCCATTGGTGAACATTTCACAATCAGCCCAGTGAACACTAATTATCAGTCGAATTTTCAAGAAATTTCTTTTAATCATTAATTTATAACATCGACCTAGCTAATATAATCATACACAATATGGTTTAAATTTAATAGCTAGGTAACGCAACTAAAGTGAAAGCAATATCTACCTCTGCTGTCTTAACTTTTAAGGTAACTGGTAAAATATTTTGATTCTTTATAATATGACTCCGAAAACTACATAATGCATGTGTTTAATAGTAATAACTTATCAGTAGAACTAATGTTTTAGCTTATCTTCTTTATGTCCATGCGTTCATGAAGTCACTTTCAGATTTTTTGATATTTGAACTCCAAATCAAAGTATAGATCATTAGAGGTATACCATTCAGGGGGAATCCCCTATACGATCTGTAAAAGGTTAAAAAGATTCAGTATAAAAGATATAGTATAAAGTTTTCATAAGCTGTAGCTAGAAGAAGTATTAATTAGCCACAAAAATATCTTATTCCTAGCTGAAATTTCCCAATATTGAAGTATTCAAATTATACTTAATCGCCCCAGTAATATTAAAAGTCCAATGTATAAAGCCAGTCTCTTCGATAATATATACATACATAGTCCATGATGATAACTATCAATGTTTGTCGTCGAATTAGATGCTATATTACGCTTATGTAATCTCTGACTAATAAATAGATATATTTATAGGTTTATTTCCTTCGATAATTACTTTGAAGCAATAATAATTATACCTAAATCTTCTAATATTTTTGGAGAATTTAGGAAATATATTATTTTTCTTTAATTCAATCTTTGAAATTTTGGTATTTTTTAAATTATCAATTTTCAAAGTGTTCAAAAAATTATTGAGATACATTTTATTTTTGAAAATTAATTATATATCAAAAAATTCAAATTTTTTAATTAATTAATATGTGCTTAAGGAATTAATTTAGTCCTTCATTGGTATATTACCTCACAAAGAATATCATTTCATTATTTTTTAAGTTTGATTTATTTGTTAAATATTGTCTTTTAAGCCCATGTTGTACTAGTAAAATTATATTATATAATTAATTATATAATCAATTATTAGTCAGAGCTGATTTATCAGTATAAGTAATTACAATTAATAGTATGAAAGTATTTTAAATTAGTTCTCTGTTGGCCAATATTTCAAGATCGAAAATGATGAGACTTAAACATATGATTTTGAAATCATTTTGATAATAGCTCTTAAGATTTTAAGCTTAAAGTGAACAACTAATAACTGATCATCGAGTTATATGTCATCATAATATATTTATATTTTTAATTTTAATATATTAGTTATCGTTACTCATTATTTTACAAATGATCAAAACTTATTTGTTCATGTATTGAAAAACATCCAAAACGAAATGCAAAACCTCTTACTATATAATAAAAACAAAAAATGCAAATGATGAGATAAAAAAAGATAATAATAAAGATAAAGAAATGAATATCATGATAAGTTTTCAAGAAATATCTAGATAAGAAGAGTATCCAGATAAAATCTTTAGATGTCGAGTAAATTGAGTAAACACAATTGACAAAAGAGTGCTTAGAAAAGTATGTTCAAAATCTTCTTCATTGGATTACCTTTCATTTGTTCTTCTAATTCTAAATCTTCTTGTTTTATTATATCTTGATCAAAGACGGTTCTGTCTTTAACCAAATCAATTTCTGATGCAGGGATAAATAAAATCCAATTCTTGGTATAAATTTTATGACCAAAATAAAAGAAGAATAACACAACAACACCTAAATAATTTTGGAAAAAGTTGACGATATCCGTTTTACCATCTTTACCAATTGGGAATAATGCAACCCAAAATTGTGCAACAATAATTAAGATATTAACAATCATAGCATAATATGAAGTCCAGATACCACCTTTACAAACAAAACCTAATTCATTAAGACTGAAACCTTGAGCTTTCATACCTGCTCTGAAACGGATATGACTCATACAGATTGTTGTCCATGTAAAGATACCAGACAAACCAGAAATTGATAATAACCAAGTGAAAATGTTGGATTGATTTTCATAAGCTGCAATAAAACAGAACAAACCAACAATACTTGAAACCATCATAGCTCTTAATGGTCTTTCATTCTTATCAACGAAATCAAACCATTTTGGAGCAAAACCTTGTTGAGCTAATGAATAGAATGTACGAGCAGATGAATATAAAGCTGAATTACCAACAGATAGCACAGCTAATAAAATAACAGCATTGATCATATGAGGAACAATTTTAATACCATATGTTTGGATAGCAATGACGTATGGAGAGACTGGAGCACCTGTTGCATCTGATGAACCCATTAATTCATTTGAGTCATATGGAACTAATAAACCAACAACAATAATTGAGACGAAATAAACGATTAAAATTCTATAAAAGATAATCTTCATAGCAGTTGTAATTGATTTTCTTGGATTTTTCATTAATGAAGCTGAAAGAACAGCGAATTCAGTACCACCTAAAGAAAAAGCTGAAGTAACAAAAGTTGCACAAACACCTTTGAACCCATTGGCAAATGCACCTGGGTTACTCCAGTATTTACCACCAATGTAACCTTGATTATGAATATGACCACCTGTATTAGTATCAATGATTAAACCCAAGATGATGAAACCTAAAATCATTGAAACTTTAAAAGTATTAAGAATAAATTCAGCTTCGGCATAACCTTTAGCACCAACAAAATTCACAACAACAATTAAAACATAAAAAATCGCAACGAAAATATCAGCATTAACAGAATCATTCCAAAATTTAATTGTCATTGAAGCAGTAACTAATTCCAAAGGTAAAACAGTAAACCAATTTATAGCATAATTCCAAGCAACTGCAAACCCCAATGAAGGATCAACTAATTTTGCACAATAAGCATTATAATTACCAGTTAAAGTTGAATAAGCGACTGATAATTCACCAGCAGCCCACATTGTAGAAAACATCATGGTACCAATGATGATATATGAAACAATTAAACCAGCTGGGCCACCTTTTGCTAATGCACCACCATTACCAACTAATAACCCTGTACCACATCCACCAGCAACGGCAATCATGGCAACATGACGAGTTTTCAATTTTTTCTTGACTTGAGCACCTTTATTTGTTGTTTGAGATTCAGTATCATTTACTAAATGAGCTATTGAAGATTCATCTTCTTTTCTTTTAAAAGAATCTTTAAATTCTTCCCATTTTGTTAAATTTTTTGGTGATGGTTTTTGATAAGTTTCAAAATTTGCTAAATCTGATGAATCAGTTTTAGGATCTAAATCATCCATTGGATAGTCTAAAGGAGGAGATTTCTTTATATCTGAACTTGACGACATTGTGACATGGATTGTGTGTTGTATTTATAAAAGGTATATTTGATCTAGGTGTTTATTTTTTTTTTCAGTTTTAATGTGTGACTATATGTATGTGTGTTGAATATGTATGTTTGAATATTGATGATTGAGAATAATATAATATAATTGAATATTGATGTATAGAAACTTAGTACAAATGCAAAATAATATAGTTTTATAAATATTTGATGAATGTCTAAGATATAGTATGAAGGAAAAAAAATGGATACTCCTTGAGTTTTATGATATATTTTTGAATAATTTTTTAAGATGATTGATTTTTAACCCACAATTATCGTGTATTAATCTAAGAAAATTTTAGAAACGGGAGAGGAAGAGGTACTATGAGAGCCGAAAATAGGATAGACGTTGATCGTGCAATGATTTCTTATCTCTGATCTGAATTTGAATGACCTCCAAATTTTGATTACAACTATACGTAGGGCATTTCCAACAGAATTGAAATTTGGGCGAGTATAATTTTTTCTTTTTCGCAGAGAAAATAAAGTTAAAATTTTCAACGGTCGGGAATAACCTTTACTGGGCGTAATTGTAGGCGAGTACAATTGAATGGTAAAAGATTATAAGGAAGAAATAGGAACTTTCAGGAAGTTTAACCAGTAAGTTAATTGTAATGTGTCATTACGTTTTAGTACTAGTATTATAGATCGACTTCTTCTCCACTTTAATCTGTTGTTGCCAGTTACCAGCTTTAAACTTTTGCTGACTGATTAAAGTTCAGAATTCAGATTCGTTCATATTAAATTCTCAGAACCTGTCAAGTAGAATATAGCCGACCGGGTATATGAGAAACAGGTAGTGATAGACGATTTGAGTTTCGTCATAAAGTAAAATTCTTGCTTAGTTGACTTATATTTGATTAATATCACTTTGAAGTGTGTCTAAAACTTGATATCTTGTGCTGATATTGATAGTACAAGTTACTAGATATCTTGTTCCCAATCGTCTATGACTTCTACAGATACACCCTTGTCTCCAGAGATTCCGTCTTCTCCTAATAGTTTGTTGTTTTGTTTGATGCCTTGTATATGCGGTCCGCGAATTAGTGCTTTGAACTTTTTGAACTTTTGAATACTTTGCCACTTGCAAGTTGCAACTTGTGAATTTTGATGGGAATCTCTACTTATAAGAATAACACACGCTACATGATTTCATCGTACCACCGATAAACTTGATAAGTGATAGAACTGATAACACAGGATACTTTAGCGATTGGGGGTTATAAGTTATAACTTAGTTACTTATCATAAACGGAACTTCAAATGGAACATGGAAGTTTGGAACATGTAATTATGGGTAAATTCTCCGATGAAAACTGGTAGATTAAATCTGACACATTTATCTATTAATTACAGTGGCACAATTATTGGGTAGTACGAGTAGTAGACCAGGACCGGCCCTATACCGCCGCTCTGAAGAAATCAGAAACCTATATACTAGTGGTTTGAACTTTGAAGTTTGAACTTGTGTCATTAATTACCCCAGACTACTTACCTCAAAGGTCACCAAAAAGGTGGAATCATTTGGATGGCACTGACACGTATATGGCACTATTAGTGAGGATATATGTGGTATATACTTTCTTTAAGATTTTGAAATTTGAACTAATCACAATTGCGTACAAATTTGCGTGGTTCGGTTTAAGTTTAAAGTATGCGAATACACGTCTTATAATTAACCACTTATGATTAAGATAGATGTCAACTTTAACGATTGGCATACTTGGGGTCATTCAGGGTGGAATACATTTATACGATACAATAAACATCATCAACGTTGAATGTGATACCGTGATCATGTCGAAATAAACATTAAACGACAACATCTGATACATTAGAGTGGTAAATTGTAATAGATAGATCAAAGATTTCAATATTTTTTTTTGATTTCCACCCGATCGTGAGACCCGAAGAATTTAACGTCTCCTGGAGTATATCTTCATTATGAATTTGATTCTGATGTTCGAGCTTCAGCTATCAATGTGATCTAACAGTGTTCAATCCTGAATCCTATTTGACTAGACTTTTCAAGATTCTAGGTTAAATTTTACACCTAGAGATTGTGGAAATTTTCAAAAAGGTCAAGAAAAAGACAGCATTGAACCACAAACCACAGCTTAAGAAACGCCTAGATAATATAGTATACTAGACACTGAGCACTCTCACAAAAGCTCATTTCTACATTGAATATCACACTTTACAAATCACCACATCTCAATAATATTTTTCCATTTATCATGTTGTCATAGAGTCATAGAGTCATAGATCTAAGGCCTCCGTTATTTAATATAGCGCCACTCTTTCAAACTCAAAATTCAAGATGCAAATAATTAATTGAGAAGTTACTGTTTGACAAAATCAACAGTTTGAGGTACAACAATGGTTCTGTAAAAACTGGTAGATTTCAGGTTGACAAAGAGATATCATACTATACAATTGCACATCACAAACGCCTGATATCAATGATTAATTCAATAGATATTCATTTCAAATCTATGAATGGAAATATCCACAGCGGAAAGCCACAACAATATGACCTCTTGGTTACAATATCAACGTTATATTTTGGGCCTTGAGCCGATCAGTTGTACACTAGTGGCAACTTGTCACAATGAATTTATTAAAAGACCGTTTTACACAGTTTTACCGTTTCTTAATCTTGGTATCATCTTTAATCTTCAATATATTTAACGTTAATCCGGTGATTCTTTGTCTTATCATTAATTTTCCATTTCAATGTCCTATAGAGCTTTGAATCAACTGGAGCCCAATAGCAATAACAATAAAATGGTTTCAAAATTCACAAAGATTTATAGAGCTACTTATACACAAGCTCATATTATTGGATTTGTTTCATTTACTCAACCAGGTATTTGGTCTGCTATTGCAAATTTGGGTGCTGGTGGGTTACAATCTGTAAACACTGCAAATATTGCAAATGCTATTTTATTTGGTATCATGTTTGTAACAGCTCCTTTATATGCTATATTAATTAATAAAATAGGTTTGAAACTAATTCTTGCTTGGGGTACTTTAGGTTATGTTTTTTGGAGTGCTGGTTTATATCAAAATTCTAAAGATGGTACTGAATGGTTAATCATGTTTGGTGCTGTTACTTGTGGTATATCTGCTAGTGCATTATGGTCTTCTGAAGCTACTGTTGCTATTCTATATCCAGATGATAATCAAAGAGGTAAATTTGTTGGTACATGGCAATTATGGAATAAAGTTGGTGGATTAATTAGTGGTGCAATTACAGTCGCATTGAATTTTAGAAATGGATCAGCTGGTGGTGTTTCATTGAATACTTATATTGTCTTAATTGCACTTCAATGTTTAGGTTTACCTGTATCATTATTGTTATCTTCACCGGATAAACTTATACGTAAAGACGGTAAGAAATTAAAATCAAATTTAACACAAGAATCATGGAAATCAAGATTTAAAACACTATGGAGAGTTTTTTTAACAAAAGAAGTATTATGTCTTACTCCATTATTCATTTCAAATGTTTGGTTCAATACTTGGCAATCAAATTACATGACACATCATTTCAGTGTTCGTACAAGAGCTTTAAATTCATTACTTACAGCTTTAATTAACGGTGGTACTGATGTTGTTGCAGGTATATTACTTGATATTAAAATGAGAAGATCCATAAAAGTTAGAATTTCTTGGGCAATTACCGCTTCGATATTGGTTGGATTTTTCATCTATAGTTTAGTCATTCAACACGAGTTTGATATTAATCCAGAAGAAGGTATTGACTGGAAAGGTAATCCAAGATATGCAAGAAGTTTCATTCCTTTCCAAATCTTCAAAATTGGTGGTGAATTAGTTTTCAATTGGGTTTATTGGGTTATTGGAGCTTATCATTTCCCACCATCTGATATTCCATATGTTTCAGGTATCATTAGATCATTTGAAAGTTTAGGACAATGTTTAGGTTTTGTTGTTGGGACTGTTAATACAAATGATATGACAAATTTAGCAGTTGCAGCTGGTGTTTTCTTTCTTTCTATTCCATCAACAACTTATATCGCATGGCAAGTTGATGATGAACCTGTTGAAAAAGATAAATTGGAATCTGAAACTGAAGGTTCTTTACACAGTGAAAATGAAGATCATGCTGAATCAGGTGAAGTGTTAGATCAATCTAGTAAAAATAATTTGATTGAACGTGTCAATACTTTATCTGATTGATTATATATATTTCAGAAATTTTCATAAACTTATTTTTATACTTAATTTTGTTTTTTGTTTCTTCTTTAGTCTTAATCTATCATGTAATACTAGATTCCATCACCATTAATTTACTGAAATATGGATTTAGAATTTGTTATACATGGCCCATGGGTAGTAATACCGCGCTAAAAGGTGTTTGAAATATTTAAAGATTTATCAACTTATTGTTCCTTAAAGTTCTAAATTGTAGATCAATAATTCTCGATCGTGAAAGACCCTTTTTACTCAATATGTTACGCAATTAAGCCCATTGGACAGCTTTATAGTCGAAATTTCAAATAACCTTGAACTTCTAGTCAATGGATATCAGATACAGTGAGCCAATGGAGGGAGTTGTTAAAAGTATAAATATAAATTGATGATCATTACTAGCTAGTAGCTACTGGATGCAAAATGTAGATATGTCGATCTATTGTAACTGTTTAGTATTTATCAAAAAACGCGATCTATATAGCTGAGAGGACCATATATAATTTGCCCTTAATAACCGTTTGGAGTTATGATTTGAGGTCTATTCCAATTTCAACGTATGGTGGTGTTTAAGTGGATAGTAAGGTATGTTATATTACTTCCAGGTGTCACATGCACAGCAAACAATTATTGATCTTTCATATAACAATGCCCACTAAGTACATCATATGATATATAAATGTACTTTGCTAGTACATGGAGTTTGAAACACTAGCAAGCTGTATTGTAACTTATAAAGTTATCAAACTATCAAATAATTGCAACATCATGTGCATGCGTAGTCTATACCTCCAGAAGCACATGTCAAGTCGAAACTTATAAGTAGGCGCCATACGCAGGATAGCTGGTAAAAGTTAGCTTATATGAAGATCAAATTTGAAAGGTTGTGATGTTTAGATAGAGATCAAGCACGGTTAGTTATGTCGAGACTCTTAATGGCTAAATTGACCCGTTGATCTTTCAATTATGACACACCTTTGATTTTCACGTCAATTTATAATGAGGTCCATTGACACCTGGTGCAGTTTACCGGGTTTCAACTTTTTATATACCTGTACCTTAAATCTTCATGATGAGTTTGAACTGATCCATATTATAGAGCTTTGGAGAGAGGCAAATATGTGCAGTTTTGAGTGATCCCATATTGGAAAACTCTAGATGAGTTACTCCTATCTTTCAATGGATCCATCGATTGAGCTTTGACTTCCTTAATATCGACTTAAAATCCAGACCCCTTGGATATCAGCCTCCATGCAATTTGTTCAGGGTGTTATTTAAACTCATGATGATGTATAAGCTATCTTTTTTATTACCAATAGTGGAAGATCTTACCGCAGATTATGTATAGATGTATAGATGAAAAAGATTAAGTTTTTAACAGGAACCTTAGTGGTCCATCTAAGATGATTTGCTTTGATGAGCATATAATTTTGGAACGACATAGACTTCAAGGTTCAAAACAGTTGCTGATCATCAATTAAGATGTTCAACTTCATGACCAATTTAGTTCACGATAAGGAATTTGATTGGTTCATGACCACCTTAATTTGATTTTGATCATGAATTCGCGAGAAAATATACAGATTTGTCTCAATGACGTTAAGAACTGTACGTAAGACAAATCGAGTTTTTCGAGACATATCTGAGACTCAAGAGAGATGAAGAGAGCGATGATATTGAAGGTGAAGTGACAGGTGAAGTGGATGATACCATCCATATTCATATACCAGACTTTAATATTTAGTTATAGAGGAGGCTGATTGAGTTTGGACTCGTGATTTGTTTTATGACTTCGGATTTAACAGTTGAAGATATAAATTTGCTTAGAAGTTAGATCTTGGACAAATGTGCGCTTAATCTAGCGTAATTAATCAAAGCTTATGAGTTCTATTGTTCTCTTATCAAACAAAGAATAAAGTTTCAAAAGGCATTTAATCCATGGGGCTCCCACTCTTTTTATATTCAAGAAATTTAAACTCCATGTAACTCTTTGATGTGCCGGGTATTCACGATTTCCTTTAACCCAGCTGATATCTTTGAAACCTATAAGCGAAGATAACAGAAGCCATACTGGACGCTAAATAACGGGTATTGCAATGCTACTCTTATAAAAATCACAAACGAGTTACACCGGGTTCAATCTAGATCAATCGGCAAGCAATCAGGATAAATAGATTTCCTGCTTAACGGTAATTGTACTTTCAAGAAATAGCCTAATATTTCGAAGTAACGTCGCTACACATTAACAATCTGAACAGCCCTAGAGTACTTAATAGTAAACTACAATAACTGAAACATTAATCAATTATACGTGTAATAATGACAATAAATAAGTTGTAAACCATCATTCTCAGCCCTTTGCATACATCATCATTAACTTCATCTTGAACTTCACCTTCATTAACTGACATGTCCTGAATCCTGGTTTCATTTACCCCAGATTTTGTCCCCCACGTACGTCTAAGTTCCTGCCCACGTCTCTGTGGACCGGCTTACGTCGTGCTTGGTAGCTTTTCTGCCTAGAATTTTCAATTACTGTACAGAGCTCAGTGATCACTGCTTACTTAGGCAGAGATTGGTACACACACGCACAAAGCTCTCTGCCTAATTTTTTATCTTTTGTCTTTAAATCCTCTGGACATCCTGCGAAATTAGTCATTTTTTTTCGATGCAATTCATTTTTTTTTTAATTTTTTAATTTTGGATGGGCAATTTTGGTCAAAAAAAGTTATAAACAAGTTGAATTCCTTCAATTAACAATTGTCAATAAAGAACTTAGTGGTATATTTTTGTTACATTCAATTCATTGTACAATTGATTACACAGACTGCTAATACCATCTTTGCTCAATCATTCAAAGTCGTTTCGATCCAAACCGCTACTTTTAGAAACACTAGAAAGATTACAAAAGTCCCCTATTAGCAAGTTTTTAGATTGATTTTTGATAAACAGCTGGTCTTTATTCAAATTAATCATATATATATCAATTAACTTATTATCATACAAACCAATTGACTTTATTTATTCAGGAATAAAAGAATAGAATTATAACATCATGTCTTATGAACCACTTCGTGTCCCAGACAATGGTGATATCAATAGAATAAGAAGAAACTCTTTATTATTAGGTTCTTCAACAAACAAAATCTTGGTTGCAAACAGAGGTGAAATCCCAATCAGAATTTTCAGAACTGCTCATGAATTGTCTATGCAAACTGTTGCCATCTATTCCCATGAAGATAGATTATCAGCTCATAGATTGAAAGCCGATGAAGCTTATGCTATTGGTTACAAAGGTCAATTCTCACCAGTTCAAGCTTATTTACAAATTGATGAAATCATTAAAATTGCTAAAGAACATAATGTTGATATGATCCATCCAGGTTATGGTTTCCTTTCAGAAAACTCTGAAATGGCTAAAAAAGTTGCAGCTGCTGGTATTACTTGGATTGGTCCTACTGCTGAAATCATTGATTCAGTTGGTGATAAAGTCTCTGCTAGAAACTTGGCTGCCGCTGCCGATGTCCCTGTTGTTCCAGGTACTGATGGTCCAATTGATTCCGTTGAAGAAGCTCAAGCCTTCGTTGCTCAATACGGTTTCCCAGTTATCATTAAAGCTGCCTTTGGTGGTGGTGGTCGTGGTATGAGAGTTGTTAGAGAAGGTGATGATATTGGTGATGCTTTCCAAAGAGCCAAATCAGAAGCCATTACTTCTTTCGGTAACGGTACCTGTTTCATTGAAAGATTTTTAGACAAGCCAAAACATATCGAAGTTCAATTATTAGCTGATAACTATGGTAATGTTATTCATTTATTTGAAAGAGATTGTTCTGTTCAAAGAAGACATCAAAAAGTTGTTGAAGTTGCTCCAGCTAAAACTTTACCACAAGAAGTTCGTGATGCTATTTTAACTGATGCTGTTAAATTAGCTAGAACTGCTAACTATAGAAATGCTGGTACTGCTGAATTCTTGGTTGATGCTCAAAACAGACATTATTTCATTGAAATTAATCCAAGAATTCAAGTTGAACATACCATCACTGAAGAAATCACCGGTGTTGATATTGTTGCTGCTCAAATTCAAATTGCTGCAGGTGCTTCATTAGAACAATTAGGTTTATTACAAGATAGAATTACCACTAGAGGTTTTGCTATTCAATGTCGTATTACTACCGAAGATCCAGCTAAGAATTTCCAACCAGATACTGGTAAAATTGAAGTTTATAGATCAGCTGGTGGTAATGGTGTCAGATTAGATGGTGGTAATGGTTTCGCAGGTGCTGTTATCTCACCTCATTATGATTCTATGTTGGTTAAATGTTCATGTTCAGGTTCAACTTATGAAATTGCAAGAAGAAAAATGATTAGAGCTTTAATTGAATTCAGAATTAGAGGTGTTAAAACTAACATTCCATTCTTGTTAACTTTATTAACTAATGATGTTTTCGTTGAAGGTTTATACTGGACTACATTCATTGATGATACTCCAAAATTATTCGAAATGGTTTCATCTCAAAACAGAGCTCAAAAATTATTAGCATACTTAGCTGATTTAGCTGTCAATGGTTCATCAATTAAAGGTCAAGTCGGTTTACCAAAATTAGATAAAGAACCAACTATTCCAGAATTACATGATTCTAAAGGTCAAGTCATTGATGTCAACAAATCTGTTCCAAAAGGTTGGAGAGATGTTTTATTGGCTGAAGGCCCAGAAAAATTTGCTCAACAAGTTCGTAACTTTGATGGTACTTTAATTATGGATACTACTTGGAGAGATGCTCATCAATCTTTGTTAGCTACTAGAGTTCGTACTCATGATTTACTTGCTATTGCTCCAACTACTGCTCATGCTTACGCTGGTGCTTTTGCTTTAGAATGTTGGGGTGGTGCTACATTTGATGTTGCTATGAGATTCTTACATGAAGACCCATGGGTTAGATTAAGAAAATTAAGAAAATTGGTTCCAAATATTCCATTCCAAATGTTATTAAGAGGTGCTAATGGTCTTGCTTACTCATCATTACCAGATAATGCTATTGACCATTTCGTTAAACAAGCCAAAGAAAATGGTGTTGATATCTTCAGAGTTTTTGATGCTTTGAACGATTTAGAACAATTGAAAGTTGGTGTTGAAGCTGTCAAGAAAGCTGGTGGTGTTGTTGAAGCTACCGTCTGTTATTCAGGTGATATGACTCAACCAGGTAAGAAATATAACTTGGAATACTACTTAGAAATCACTGATAAGATTGTTGCTGCTGGTACTCATATTTTAGGTATTAAAGATATGGCTGGTACTTTAAAACCAAGTGCTGCTAAATTATTAATTGGTGCCATCAGAGAAAGACATCCAAACTTACCAATCCATGTCCATACTCACGATTCAGCTGGTACTGGTGTTGCTTCAATGGTTGCTTGTGCTCAAGCTGGTGCAGATGTTGTTGATGCTGCTACCAACTCCTTATCTGGTTTGACTTCTCAACCATCAGTCTCTGCTATCTTAGCTTCATTAGACGGTGACATTAACACCAACATCAATGCTAACCATGCAAGAGATATTGATACCTATTGGGCTGAAATGAGATTGTTGTACTCAGTCTTTGAAGCTGACTTGAAGGGTCCAGATCCAGAAGTTTACCAACACGAAATTCCAGGTGGTCAATTAACCAACTTATTATTCCAAGCTCAACAAGTTGGTCTTGGTGAAAAATGGATTGAAACTAAAAAAGCTTATAGAGAAGCTAATTACTTATTAGGTGATCTAGTTAAAGTTACTCCAACTTCAAAAGTTGTTGGTGATTTAGCTCAATTTATGGTTTCAAACAAATTAACCCCAGAAGATGTTAAGAGATTAGCTTCTTCATTAGATTTCCCAGATTCAGTTTTAGATTTCTTTGAAGGTTTAATTGGTCAACCATATGGTGGTTTCCCAGAACCATTAAGAACTGATGTCTTAAGAGGTAAGAGAAGAAAATTGAATGTTAGACCAGGTTTAGAATTAGCTCCATTTGATTTTGAAAAAATTAGAGAAGATTTATCATCAAGATTTAACAAAGTTACTGAATGTGATATTGCTTCTTATAACATGTTCCCAAAAGTTTATGAAGATTTCAGAAAAATTCAAGAACAATATGGTGATTTATCAGTTTTACCAACAAAGAACTTCTTAGCTCCACCAAAGATTGGTGAAGAAATTACAGTTGTCATTGAACAAGGTAAAACTTTGATTATCAAATGTAATGCTGTTGGTGATTTAAATAAAGAAACTGGTATCAGAGAAGTTTACTTTGAATTAAATGGTGAATTACGTAAAGTCTCAGTTGCTGATAAAAAATCAAACGTTGAAACCGTTTCAAGACCAAAAGCTGATGCTCATAATCCAAACCAAGTTGGTGCACCAATGGCTGGTGTCCTTGTTGAAGTCAAAGTTCACAAAGGTTCTGAAGTTAAGAAAGGTGATGCTGTTGCCGTTTTAAGTGCTATGAAGATGGAAATGGTTATTTCTGCTCCAGCTGCTGGTTTAATTGGTGATGTATTTGTTAAAGAAGGTGACAATGTTGATGCTAGTGATTTACTAGTTGTCATTGAAGGCGAAGAAAAGAAATAGATTTAGAAATTAACTTGATTACAATGTTTTATATTTTGGATTCTTCTTAATTTTTAGCGGTTTTGGGAAGAGGCAAATTTAAATGCACTGTATTGAGCCGGTTATTCAAAGTTTTCATATATATTATATTTGATTTATTCGTAATTTTGTTTTGTTGAATTTTTAGTACATGTCTTTTAGAATGAGCTTCAAAATGTAGATTTATTTCCGGTTTAGGAAGTCTAGTTTTTACTTGGTCGCGCTAGCAAAACTTCCCCATAAAAAGCTACAAACAATTACCTTCACTCATATGCTACTTGTCAATAAAAACAAACATATTACAACTAAATTGATTAGTATGGCTGGTGATCACGGACGTACGTTATATTGACTGACAAACTTTATGAATCTCACTAACAGGTTTTTTTAGCATTGAAAGCCGACCCAGCGGTCGAATTATGGAACAGTATGTTATCCCTTATATCAAGAACAAAACGTATCAAATAATCTAACATTTAACTTGTTTAGAATGGAATGAAACAGCATATAAAAGATTTAAATTGAATTATAAATCCACACCAATTGTTTTGCTTTTCACAGTTGCTATTCCTGGTGCTTTAATCTATACTGGTTATCAAACACAAACTTGGGGTGATAGAATTCCAATTAGAAGAACTCAACCAATTCATGAAAGAGAATATAAGATTCCAGATTGGTATAGTACTAAATAATACTGGAGAATGATTATTTATTTTATTTATTAACTTATTTATTTATTTATTTATTTATTGATCAAGTATACATATACATATATTTACTTACTTACCTGAATCAAGTATGTACATATCAGAGCGAATGGAGAACATATAACTCCAAAATATGGATTGAAGATCAGTAGAAAGCTTTATAACCCAGCAATTATTGTTCCACTCAATATGACTACACCAGACTCTACATACTAATATTAGCGATGACATACCCATATATTAACAAACAGAATGAACAATAAAAAAAACATGAGAACAAATAAAGATGTATGATAAATTTTGGAAACATGAACCAAATCCCAAACCTGATAAAGATAACATAACAAAAAAAAAGTAGAAAATAAAAGATAAAAATTGTAACAAAGCCTTTTTAAACTATAACAAAATAAACAAAACATAGCATGAATATGTTGTGAATTTTTTTATTTTTTGATATAATGAATATATGTGTGTGAATGGCTGAACTGAAAAAAATATTAATTAACATTCACACCTAAAATGAAGAAAAGTATGTATGATAAAAAAATATATGCATATAGACAATCAGAATTATTTATTAATTCTAAATTGAAATTCATTAATTCCAGATTTAACTGTTGGTGATTGATCCTTTTCTGGTGAATGTTGAGATATTGATGATCTTTTTGACTTTCTATTAGCAGATCCAAACAGGAATTGATCAGCTGTGAAGCTTGTTGAATCATTTGAATCAAAACGACTTATAGTGGAAGGTATTGGTGATTGATTTATAAAAGGGTATTGTGCAGGTGCAGAAGTCAATGGTGAATGACCTGAAGCATCCGATCCTGTTGGTGATGAATTTGTATTTGATGGTGAATAAATAGAGAATGATGTTGGTTCAATTGGCGGAGGTTTAGGAAGTTTTGGAAACTTCATTGAAGTGGCCGATGTTGGTGTACCAACGTTTGATGGTCTTCTAGGAGTAGATTTAACACTGCTTGAAGCTGATCCACCTTTGATTTTTTCACGACCAGGTTCCATAACAAATTCATAATTTTTGATAACATTCCCCTTCAGACCATTATGTAGACCATTAGAGCTATGATTCTTCAAAAGTTTTGATTCTTTAGCATTAACTATATTTGTTGAATTATTATGAATCTTTTTTGAAAAATCTAAAGTTGCAAACATTGGACCTGGTTCTTTAACAGGTGTTGTATTCAAGAAACTTTTGGACTTTTTAAGCTTCAAGGTACTTGTACTTGGACCAGATACCGATGATTTCTTAACTCTATTCAGCTTTGTAGTTGAACTTGACTTATTCAGTGGTGGAGGTTGAATCTTTTGTGCAGGTGGTGTAGGAGGTAATTTCATATCTTTTGATGAAGTTGAAGTTATTGGTGTAGAACTTTTAGATGATTGTTTTCTTTTTTGCTTTCCAGACATAGATGTTACTTCTTTGAATCTTGAAGGTAGTTGAATCTCTGATTGTGAATGTTGTGGTAAACTTGGACGAGATATGAAAAACTGTTGTTGTTGAGATTGGAAAGAAGGAGCTGGCGCATTAGATCCAACATTTGTAGGTTGTTGAATTTGAAATTGTGCTTGCTGCTGTTGGTATGGATGGAAAACATTAGTATTTTGAAGTTGTACTCTAAAAGTTGGAGTTGTTGGTATTTGAGGTTGAATTTGTTGACTTGAATTTGATAATTGTGATTGAGATGATGATGACGAAGAAGTTGACAATTTAGATTGTTGAGTTTTGTTATTCACCGGCAAAGCTTCATCACTTGATTGAGATAATGAACTATTACTATTATTTGAAAAAGTCATAAATTGAGCTTGTGGTGGTTGGAAAGACTGTGAAGATGGAATTTGAACAGGGAAATTCTGAAACTGTGATTGTGATCCATTTGGTGATTGTGTAAGTGGAGGAACCGTACTTGGTGTTGAATTTGCCGGGGTTGGGAAACTATTCAATGGTGTTGTTGTTTGGTTAAATAAAGGTGATGTAGAATCTGTAGTAGTTGTATTCACAGTTAAGTTCTGTTGTATATTCCCTTGATTCAAATTGAGGGGCTCCATATCATGTTGTGATGGTTCCATAGGTTCCATAGGTTCTTTTATAGGAGATGAACTTTGCAAAATTGTATCATTTGATTCTTGTCTATCTAAAGTGGTTGTAAATGATAATAAAGGATCATCTTCTAATAAACTCTCTATCGTTATTTCTTCTTCTTGTTTATTATCATGTAACAAATCATTATCAAATTGTGAAATATGTTGCAGTTCAGGTTGTGAATAACTATGTTGTTGGTAAAATTGAGTTTGTGGTGGTGGAAATGCTGTTGGTTGTGATGCTGTAATATTGAAAGACTGTGGAAATGGAACAGGATCTTCCGGTATACTCATTATATTTGGATATTGTGGTATAGACAAGGATTCATTATCAGACTGAGTCTGATAGCTATATGCATACATATTTTGTTGTGAATTATTTTGCAGATGAGAATGATTATGATTATGATTTGGAGGAACAAAATTGAAATCTGTAGCAGTACCAACTTCTAACTCCTGTTTTATTCTCATTTCTTTAATATGATGATTATATTGTATTGTAATGGTTTTCTTTTTTTGTTTTGACTATTGTAATACTATTCTAACACGAAAAGCGAATGATCTTTATGGAAGCGAACGTAATGGTGTATAAAGCCCACACAGGCGTAATGATAAAACTTATTAGATACTTGAAATGATCTTGAAATCAACGTCAACGGTACTGTTGTTATGTGGTGTTGAAATGTTGAAGTTTGTAAAATTTCGAGCGTGTTTTTGGACTTTGATGATGTAAACCCGACGAGCCAGCAATAATAACAAAAAACCCGGTAATAGACAATATGGAAACACTGAACAATATCTTTGAAATGTAAACTATGATGATGTTAACAAGCAAAGAGACAAACAATATATGGTGAGTTTTTGTTGTTCAGAAGTACCTATCTTTTTTTCTGATTTTTTAATTTTTTGTTTTGGTTCTCTGTACCTTGGGGGAGAAGCTTGCAATGTATGTATGGGGCGATAAAAATAAAAACTTCTTCACAGGTACACAGTGATCCTGGCGACAAAAGCGTATCAAATCAACAATAAAGCGTATCTGAAGGTCTGGTATGAAGTTTGAAGCAAAATGCTGTGGTTTGTAGAAGTGGTTATCTTTGGTTTTGGTTGATGGAACTGTGGTTTTGGTTTTTGATATTCTGAAATCTATATTAAGAATCAAAGATCAACTGAGAATATAAAAAAAAAAGTTAACAAACCACGGGGCGCTTGGTGGGAAGTCTGAGTAGTAGTGTGAGCGTGGACTGGTGATGATATAGTTTCTAGCGAGCGTGTAGTCCTTCTTTGTAGGCGTGTGACTTGTAAAGTTGATGGTTGTGTTTGGAAACGTACCAGTTTTTGTTTGGATCCTTTGTTCATTTTCAAAAGTGTTCCTGTTTATCACGGTTTAATTTTCGAATTTGACGTTTTTGAAATTTGGTTTACGCTGGTTGATTTCCGGTTTGAAAAAGTTCTCGGTTTCTGTATTCGGTAGATGACTTGAAGAGGAAGAGGTTATACCCCGATGGTGCCTCGTAATTATATTATATTAGCCATAGATTTGAATATTATTGTTACCCAAGTTTTGAAAGTGGAAGGCTGGCAGCAAAGAAGAGAGACCGTCTAGGGAATTCAGGATAGAGAAAGTAATCGAGGTTACAGAAGTACACTTGTCAGAATGCATTGCTTCTCTGTTTCTGATCTGATTACATGGAAGTCCTTCTCAGGGCGTTTATACATCTTTCAAGATCCTGTACACAAATACTGGAATTATTCAAGATGGTTTTTTGACCCAAAGCCAGTACCAACAGAACCTCAAACATTGAGACGGTTCTTAACAGAGACAATGCTTTATTTCCCATTGTTTGATAGGTTTACACCAACTATTTTCATACTGAGATTTTAATTCAATTCCATATTGCTTACATCAACATATTGCTTTACACATAACTATCCTCTCGTCCAAGAACAGAAAATTCACAGGTTAATCTCCAATTTCAATTGATACATACCTTCGTTTAACAGGTCTTAGACTGAATTTGGATTTCCATTGTCACCAAATTTATCATAGTATGTCTAACCATGTTTCAAATAATAACCAACCAGCTACACATAAATGTACCATATTATTACACAATGAATTACAAAACTTGATAATCCATCCAACTTCTGGTATTTCAGCATTTCCTTCCAATGAAAATAATAGATTATTTTGGAGAGGTACAATTATTGGGCCTAAAAATACTCCATTTGAAATTTATTTTATAAACTTGAAATTATTATATTCAATCCAAATCATCCATTTGTTGCACCAGAAGTATTCTTTTATTACAAGGATATGGCATCCAATTATTTCTTCAAGAGATGGTAAAATTTGTGTTGATACATTAAATAAAAAATAGTCACCTTGTTTGACAGTAAAATCTTTGTTATTATCAATTCAATCATTACTTTCTGGACCTAATGAAGCATCTCCATTGAATATAAGTGCTTCTCGAATATTACATTTGAAAGATACAAACCGAGCTAATTATTTGAATGAAGTGATGACTAGAAATGTTTATGATGGAATACCACTAAGTAAAGCTATAAGAAATGTAGGTGAGATGTTAGGACGTCTGTGAAGAAAGTGAACAAATTGCTTGTGAATTGAATCTTGTATAGAGTTTTGATGATATCAATATAATTTACATCTTTATCGTATCAAAAGTCCCATATGTAATCAAGTAGGTAGTACTACACTCAAAATTTTCAATATAGAACAAATATGTATGTATTATTAACCCAAAATATCGCAAAACCAATTAAACTAAAACTTATAACAACCATAATAAAAAACAAAACTAAAATAAACCTGAACAATATGTATGATATGTTAACTTAAAAACCAAACAACCCATAATTAAAAAACAAACTTATAACATATAATATATAATATAACTTAAAATAATAAAAAAACACTTTGAAATAGTAAATGCACCAACTATTAAATTGTAAACGAATGTGTACCCTGATTATATTCTCTTATCTTATCCCAAATGATCTATACTTGCACATGATATTATAATTAAACCTTTATAATATTGAAAAAAAACCCCTTGACCCCAATGAAATATTATTAATTATTATTTGATATTGTGACAGTGATATATAGATATGCAATTATATGATACTTCCTTTGACTTATTTACATGAAATTAAACTTCTTATGCTGATTATAATGTAACACTTTCCCTTTACCTTTATGTATGATCTTATCCCTTTGATGCAAAAAACCTAATTATTAAAAACCTGATAACCCTGAAATGTTATGAAGACTATGATGAAAAGACAAAAACAATTAAACTCATATAAAGTTTGTATTGATCACATGAATTTTTCAAATTTTTCATCTTGTAACCAACCAATTTTTTCAAATGCTGCAAATAATCTACTTGCTTTATTAACATCAATTCTACATGATTTTTGTGCATCTGTTCTTCTGAATGGCAAACCTTTCTTCATTCTTGTAACTTTTTCTGCAAATAATCTTCTTTTAGAATCCAAGAACAAATTACATGGTAATCTTAAAATTGATGCTAATGTAGCTTCAGCTGGATGTAATTTATCAAGTAATGGATCATCAGCAAGACTCATTGGTTGACCTTTCCATTCAACTTTCAAACATCTATTATTGTTTGGTAATAAATTAGTATCTGGTGAATAATCAGGAATTGATTCCCAATCAATAACCATTGGTGGAACTGATGGTGAAGAAACTGGTTTTCTTCTTTTAACTGGTGGTGGTGTAGAAACTCTTGAAATATCTGAAGGATTTTCTAATGCTTGAGATGATTCTCTAGCAATACGACGTGTTCTAACCTTTTCATATTGACTGTTATAGTCAGAATCACTATTATAACCAACAGATGATGAAACATTACCATTACCATTCTCATAAACAGATCTAATGATTCTTCTTGGTGCATATCTTCTTGTAAGTTTGGAAATATGACCATTGTGTTTTGATGAAGAACGGTTAGTATATTCTCTGATGAAATTGATTTGAGCTCTCTTGAAGTTTTTAGATCCAATATTACTCCAAGCATTAACATTCAATTGATAGTTTTCATATTTATCAATTGGAAATTCACCAAGTTCAGTTTTATTATTTGATAAAACAACAAATGTGTCGATTTTTTCATTACCACTGTTGAGTAATTGTCTTTGTTGTAGTTCTTTCAAAACATTGTTGTTGTTGTTAGAGGTTTGCGATACCGGAGCTTGAACTGCACCAGCAGCTGAAGATTCTGCACTATGATAAGGAGATAATGGAGGTGAAGGAATTGATTGATCTTCATATAACTTTGGACCAATGAAGTGTGACTTTGATGACTTTCTGTGAATGATAGGTGCATCACTTAAATTGATTTCTGGAGTCATAGCTCCAATAGAAAACTCTGAAGACATATTTGTAACTGTGGTATTATGATATCTGAGATTAGATTCTGAAACGTTAAGCTGCAAATTCGCGATCTTTAGTGTGGTATGCAATTGATTGTGTAGTAATCTGTTTATAGTTGATTTGTGAGCTTTGTTGAAAAGATCTTTATGATTTTGATAGATTCTTTAATCGTTAGTATATAGAGAAAAGGTAAATAAATATTACAAGATTAAAAGAATTTGCAAATATTGAGCTTACTTATTTACATATATAAAAATTTTTTTTGTGACTTGCATTTCTTTTTTTCTTTTCCTTTATCATAATCAACGCGATTTCAAGCCGGAAAAAGAAAAACTATGCAAAGTAATGCGAGTTTTGCCAAAACATTTCTGAGGAAACGAAAAATTGCGAAATTTTTTAAAAGATGAAAAAACCCTGAAGTTTGAAGCTTTGTGAGCATAAACTCAATTCAAATCAATGGTTTTATGAATGTCCATTCGATAGGAATTGTCGATTATGTCTCTTGATTGATTTTACTGGACTAAAATGTCAACTTTTCCCACTTTTCGGAGTCATATTCCCTGGTTACGATAAGAAAAGTTGTTGTGACAACATGAAACAAAAAAAAAAAACTTGTGTGACTTATCAATATTCGTGCGCGGCGAAAGAAAGAAATAAATTTGTGCAAATCCGTTTTTTGCGAAAACTTTTACCTAAAATAGAGACGTTACTTCTGGTTTCTAATTTCTAATAATTACCTGAGTTCCAATTTCTAGTCATCATGAAGTACAGCCTAAAATATCATGACGATGTTGTGAACTTCTATCAATATTTGATAACTTTAACCTTATTCGTCATGTTATGTCTTTTAAATTTTATGGGGCTTGATGATGACGCGTTCTAAATTTAGGAATGCTTGTTACGCAGTGTGATTTTCTATTGTGTTGATAAGTCATGATCGATTTTGACTTGCGAATTGTGTCACCTTTTGTTATGTTGTGGTTTATGATCACCTGAATTCAGCCGGCTCTTGTAGTTCCAGAGTCATGAGTGGAAGGTTTCATGTAAATGGGTACATCATACAAATATTAGATGATCATATTATGACGACGTGATCATCAGCTAATATATAGTGCAAATTTCCGGGTTGAGACGTTAGTGGTTTTCGGGAGATATTGTTTAATTGGTGTATATCGATCAGTTAAGTTTATGCTCAATTTGTGTCAATTGTGCTTGCTTCATTGGTCATTGAGTGGCGAGTGGTAATTCCGGAGGTTTAATTGCTAATTTGATGTTTTCTTACCAGTTATAATTATGTTACTCATGAACTAGTCATCACTTTCAATTTTCTACTAATTAATTAGTTAGTGTATCATTTATTTTGTGCCACTTTTCGCCACGAATCCAAAAACAGTAGACATTGAGATTTTGCGAAAAAGAGACAGCCAAAATTCTCGTAACGTAAAGGCCCTTTAAAAGCACATTTCTTATTTACATGGTAACAGAATACAGAAGTACTAGAACCTTAAATCTTGAGCGTTGTTTTATGAATATCTTTTGCCTATTAATCTTGGATTTGTGACTGTTTTTCTCTTTTTTGTGGTACCCTGCTTTAGCTAACTCAGTATAGACTCTATAACATACTATAGAAGTAGTACATATTGATTGATGAAACGTGAATGCTAGCTAGTTGAAAACTACATAGTTTGGATAATTCTTTGACACTAGCGAAGATAAAATGTCTCTGATTAGTTGGATACAGTTTTATTAGAAATTAGAATGTTATAGAAAAGTAAGCCAAATAGTCATTTTAGTGATTGGCTCTGTTTATAAAATTTTAATTACTTTTGCGCGCGATGTTTCGCAAAAAAAAATTTGCGGCAAAGATTAAATTTGCAGATTCTTTGTCGCGGAAATCCACAGAATTGTGCACTGGAGTTTGAAATCTAGACACCCCATGATAAAAATTTCTAGAAAGCAATTGTGTCGACCGACGTACCAATTATGTATTAGGATAATGTTAGTTTATACAAAGCAATTACGATGAGATGTATATTTGTTATCCACTGGTAAAGTTTTGCTTCCATGATTCTTTCGTCTCGTTTTTTGTTCCCCAGATTTTGCGCTGCATTAAGATTTTTAATTCTAGCGGCAGAAAAAAACGGTTGCGCAAAATTTAGACGCAGATCCGGATAAATCTTTACGTAGGTAAGTACTAAGTAGTAAGGAGTCACCAAGATTCACGACTATAAGTTAGATCGATTTAAATAAAACAGGTTACAGATCCATATTTCATGAGTTAGCACCTTCACTGGTTACTAGATGGAGCTCACTACTCACCAGATGTATCAGCTAGCGAGTAACAAAAATGGTGTATAGTGTATTTTATATATGCTTCAGACCGGCATCATTACCACTATGATCATTTAGATTAAATTATCTTTGATATCTATAAAATCAGTTGTACTAGTCTCATCTTCATATATATAACCTACAATTATTAGAAAAGACCGAACCTAAATGTTCTGAATGCAATATTATTATTTATTATTTTATATTATACTGATAAAAGCCTCAATTAAATGCCACATTGTTTTAAAAGAAATCATCTTCATCCTCTTCAATTATTCTCTCATCTTTTGGACCCCAAATATTTATTTTACCATCAACGGTACCAGAAAAATAAGTAGCACTGTTATTTCCTGAATATGTTAAGCAACAACTTCTACTATTCTCTTGCAAATTTTTTCTCAACCTTGCAACCAATTTACCATCAATTATCCTGAAAACCAAAATTTCTCCATTATCTGAAGGATACCATAAATATTGTAACTCAGTTTCACTAATTGGACTCAATAAAATAGTTTTGTAGCTTGGAAATTTATTTCTTACAAAAGGTCCAAAGTTTAATAATGTATTTACTGCACCTATAGGTTCCAAGTCCCAAACTCTAATCTTTTCATCATTACCCGTTGTAATTAGTGATTTACCACTAGGAAACCAACTGAGTCCATTGACAGCTCTAGCATGAGCCTTAACCGATGATTTTAAAACCCCAACTTTTTTACTATCATTTGAGCTAATAGGAGCAGATTCATCAGTTCTATAAAGATCCAATTGTACAAGACAAGAATCTGTCCGGCGTATATCCCAAATTCTAACTTCACCTTCTGAACTTCCAGTTGCCAATTCATTAGGATTATTTGGCGACCACTTTACACTTGTAATACCCCCATTATGACCCGTTAAACTGTGAACAGCCGATGTAGTCTTCAAGTCCAATATTCTAACATGGGAACTATCAGCACCACTAGCAATTAATGAATGATCACCAGTTTCTGAAATATCAAAACAATGTACTTTTGAGTTCAAATTAAAGCTGAAAGCTTCATCCATGGTATTTGTGTCCCATACTTTTAGTTCAGAATCGTAGGAGCTAGATAAGAACATACCCATATCGAAAGGCCACCATTTCACATCAGTAACACCATATTCATGACCCCCATTACTTTTGTTCAAATCACCGATAATATCAGCCTTCACTTGACCCACTTTGAAAATCTTTATTGATGAATCAGCACCACCAGAAAGCAAAAATCTGTGATTGATTTTATCGAAGTCTAGAGCATTAATTGATCCAACAGTTTTCTTCTTGGTTGAGAACTTGGGATATTCCTGAGCTTCCAAGTTGTAATAAAGAGCCTCAGTCGACGTCCTTTCAAAGTTTTTGCATGATACTTTACCCAGCTGCCTATCTAGAAGAAGGGATTGCATCGAACATTGACTGATCTTCAATTGAGATGAATCGAATTAGAATGAGTTTTCAAGGGTTACGTTGAAGGATGATTCTAGTAAAATCAATCACAACGAAATTAACCACATTCGCGATTTTGCCATCAAGAGTTCTACTTCACATAAACAAAGAATAATGTTACTTTTTTAAACAAACTATACACTCTCCAGTGGCAGAATTTCTGATTCCCATTCAGATAAAAATGTTCTATACTCACAAGAGTGAGTGACCTCGGGAAGAAGATAAATGCTCAAACTTAAGCGGCCATTGCTGATTCATCTGTTGTTGGTGATGTTGATTCTGAACTGTTATAATATTTCATCAACTGTTTTTCTCTGACTTTGCCTAAATATGGTTCTGACTCTGATCGGTGTCTTTCAAAATCCTCAAAGAAGTCCATGAAATCATCGACCTCCACCTTGTCGCAAAAATTAGCTCTGACTGATTCCACACTGGCATTTACGTTGTGTTTTGATTTTAAAATAGGTCTGACTGAAACTAATGGATCATTCAAAGTACTGACGATCTGATCGATGCTCGAATATTGATATGATGGCTTAACTTCTGGCTTTATATGGTAGGTGCTAAATCTAGAAAGTGTTGAAATTTTGAAAGTCTTCAATCTATGCGCAGAGTTTGGTGATAGTGCAGATGCAGAGCTTAGGTTGAGCGATCCTCTGTTTTTGAATTGATCTGCTCGTTTTTCAATTTCTGATTGGTTTATAATGTTCTCCTTACCACCTGATTGGGATAAAGATGCTTTATACTTTTGGAACTTTGATCTTTTCGATCCATCATAAAGAAGTAATTGTGCAAATTTATCAAATTTTATGGAAGCAATTTTTGAGTTTTCAGTATTTGGTGAAATTGGCGACACAATTGAATCATCAAAGAACCTAGGATCTTTAATACTAGATACTCTATTATTCTCTTGCTCTGAATTGGAGGAAGAAAAATCATCAGGATCATATCTCTCATCAATATCTATCCCTTCAGATAGATTTTCAGCTAAACCTGATATGATGTTATGATCTTGTTTTAAGGCTGGTACGACCACTGAAATTGGACAATAAGTTGAATGGCTGCTCAAAGAATTCAGATCACCTAAGTGCATTTTGTTAATATATTGTTTTAATATTGGTATAATCTGTGAACAAAACTGAATACATACTAATTGATCTTTTATCATTTTTGAAAACTGAGATCACTCTTTTTAATACCGATCTCGATCTTGGGAGAGATATGGAGGAAGTTGCTAAAAAGAACATGTTAGTCTCCAAATATCACAAAATATAAAAGGGAAATACTTACGCTCTAGTTGATCTATCAATGCTTCATCCAAAGAAATGGTTTCAGCTTCCTTAAAATGAGGAGATCCCACTCCATACAGATATTTGTTTCCTTGGTCTTGATTGTTTTCAAATAAAGCTTTAAACACTTCAGGAGTTGGAACTGGTGAAAATATATCGTCTCTTGGAGGGTCATCTTCAGACCCAATTGGACGATGCTCAATTATTAGATTGCCCTGCTCTCTATTATTCTCTCCAGAATTTGCTGGTACCAAAGACTGAGGACATTCAGCAGAATCCTGCTGAGCACTTGTGGAAGAAGTTGATGAGTTTTGATCTTCTATTGGTAATCTTAACATTGGATGAAACTGAGCAATTTCATTAGTGCTTCCAGAGGTATTTTCAATGTTATCATCATCAGACGGGGTTCCAACTTCAGAGATTGTTTCTGCGGTTGCACTATCTGAAAGATCCGACGGAGGTTGAGCTACCACTCCATACTCATTATTACTGATATCATTGGTAGTGAATTTCTCTCCTTGTTTTACGTTCCCGCTGTTAGATCTTAAAGTTTCTTCAGTGTCAGATTCAGAGTTTGAATCACCAGTCATTGGAGGAAGAGTGAAAAGTTGTTTTCTCAAGCTTTGAAGATTTTCATATGTTAATTCATTTAATGGAGAATAAACAGGAATTTGATCTCTATCACTAAATTCTTTTGTATCTTGGTTCCTTAGCATCAACGTATCGAAGTACTTGTCAAAGTTCTCTGTTTTGTATTGGTGATAACATGTATATGCATCGTCAGGAATTTCCTCTTCAATTGGCGTATTCAATATCTTTTGATGAATAAATTGAGATGTACTTCTTTTATGTCTTATCTTACTTAGTCTTGTTTGTTTTCCATAATGATGTATTTTACCCAACCACTTATTAAGACCGTGTAACCTCTTTGTTTTAGATATTGGTGTACCTTCTTGATCATAACTATAGACATCACTAGAGTCTAATATATCCGATTCTGCACCTTCATCAATAACACGAATCATATCCTCAGTATAATCACCAGTCAGATTCATTTGCTCTGCACTGAATAAAGGGTTTGGCTTATAGTCATAGTGTCTTTTTATTCCCTTACTGAAAACCTTATGTAAAGTAAGCCTTTTTGACGCTTTTCCTAAATCTTCATCACCAACTCTTGGTCTTTTTCTCAAAACCACCTTTTCAGACTCTGGACTTGAAGACGTATCATACCCAAAAGAAGCACCTAAACTATCTCTAAATGAAATTCTCGTTTCTGTGATCATCTTGCAACTTTATACTAGTTTGTATATGTAATTCAATCTGTTGAACCTTGACCTCTATAGCAACTAGCTAGTGTGTAGACAAAAATTCAAATAGCTATGGTTGAAAGCTGATACTAAGATGCAATGGTTAATTTGATAAGAATGATTAGCTTTATGAAGAAGCTTTAGATATAAAACTCGGAATTTTTGATTAAGATATTCAAATAAAAAAAAAATAATCTATACGTTAACACAAAAACAAAAGCCGATAATATCCGAACTAATGCTGCTCCTACAATTTCTCAATAGATACAATAGTATTTAACTTACTCTTGCACACTTCTACAGGCTTGAAAGAGAGGTCATTAAACAAGCTTTATATTGAAAAAAAGGATCTGTTATAAAGGATATACTAATCTATTTCTTTTTTTGGGAAGTTGAGTTCTTTGGAAGATCTTTTAAGTATGGAATAAATTCTGGTTCACCTGGAATGTATTTTCTTAAAACTTCTGGGATAACTAAACCATCATCGGTTTGATAATTTTCTAAGATACAACATAAAGCACGTTCAGTAGCACATAAAGTTGAGTTCAAACAATGAACGTATTTCTTTTCACGTTCGTTTAATTTCTTTATACCTGATCTGATTTCCAAGTTTCTTGATTGGTAATCGGTACAGTTTGAACATGAGACCAATTCTTTATATTCTTGTTGGAATGGGAACCAAGCTTCTAAATCATATTTTTTAGCAGCAGCGTTGTTTAATTCACCTGAGACAATACCAACGACTCTATAAGGTAAACCTAATGATTGATAGAATTGTTCTGATAAGTTAATCATACGATCAAATTCTTCCCATGATTTTTCTGGTTCAGTGATACAGAATTGTTCAATTTTTTCGAAAGCATGGACACGGAAAATACCCCAAGCATCTTTACCATGAGAACCAGCTTCTCTTCTGAAACATGATGAGTAACCAGCATAACGAACAGGTAATTGTTCAGCTGGACTTTCAAACCATTCACCAGCGTGATAAGCTGAAATTGGTTGTTCTGAAGTAGCGATTAAATATTTTTCATCATCACCATCGATAACTTTGTATAATTCTTCATCAAATTGTGATAATTGAGCAGTTTTGGCCATAACATCCTTGTTCATCATAACTGGGGCTTGTAATGGAACATAATCTTTTTTAGTTAAGAATGATAAACCATAGTTAATTAAAGCTTGGTTCAAGAAAACACCGTAACTTCTTAAGAAATAACCACGGTGACCAACAATACGAGCACCACGTTCTGGATCATAACCATCAAGACGTAATAAGACTTCATGATGTGATAATTTAGCTTCTTTACCAGTAGCGGTAGCAATTTTACCGATTTCACCAGAGCCTTCTGGCTTCCAAGTGTTTCTTAATTCGTTGTTATCTTCGTTGTTTGAAACAACAACTGATTCATGAACCAAGTTACCGACAGTGTTAACTTTAGCTTTTAAAGCTAAATCAGCTTCTTGTTCTTTTTGAACTAAAGCTTTCTTTTGTTCAGCAATTTCATCTTTTTTTTTCAATAATTCAGAGGCATCTTCTTTAGCTTTGAATTTCAAACCAATTTCCTTTTGGACTTTGTTTTGTTCTTTGTTAGCAGCGTCTAATTCGAATCTAATTCTAGTCCATTCTTTGTAATCAGCGATGATTTCATCAACAATTTCAACTGGAGCAAAACGAGCAGCTTGTGATTTACGGATAGCTTCTGGGTTACCACCTTTTTCTTCAATAAATTGGGTAATGTCTAACATTATGGAATATGTCTATTGAGTTGGCAAAAGGTCAAGTCTCAATCACTCTTATACTCATCAATTTTTTTTCATACTCAAAAAAATATGACACGACAAAAAAAGTCGCTGAAGGAGCACAAATCCCGCGACAGTGACTACGGATTATGCAGAGATTAGAATTGAAGATGCGATATGGATTGGTATTATGCTGATGATTCTTGTAGAACGAGAAACTGAAATAGTGGCGAGGAGGTGATGTACATATGAAATATTCAAGATTTAAAGTTACAAGGACAGTGGGCACAGATTGAGTGAGTAATAAAACATTTGGGTGGAATCTCCAGTCAAAAGAGCTCAGGGATGGTATATCTTGATTGTAACTCCTTTGAACGGTGCTTTTATGGAATGAAATCTTGGGAATAGGAAAAACAATAGTTTATATATATTTCAATAGCAAAATTACCTATTTAAGGACTGATATAATGGAAAAATATTGGTTTAATGCTAAAATGAAAAGTGGCCGAACCAATGGTGACATGTCACGGTCTGAGCACACAATACCCGATTTTTTGATAATTATGGACTGATGGTCCAGAGGTTAGGACGTCGCCTTTACACGGCGAAGGTCCCGGGTTCAATCCCCGGTCGGTTCATTTTTTGCCATTTTTGGCTCAAAATTTTTTTTTTGTACTTTAATTCGAATTGGATTACTTCCTGAAGTTTCAGTTTTTATGGGTTATAATAGATAATGATCAATTGTATTTTAATGCTCAAATTATAAATGTGTTGATTATTTATGCTGGCTGGCAAGTTGTAATTTCCGGATGCGGAACTCTCATCGACTTTAAAACTTGACATAACCTTTACCTTCAACAAATGTTGCTAAGACAGGGATATCTTTGTTTTCATTTTCAGCCAAGTCAAAGTAGAATTTATCAGCAGCTTCACCACTGGTACCTTTCATAACTGGACCACCTTCGATAGTTCTTTCATCGGCATAGTAAAACTTGAAACCCTCTTTGGAAAAGAATTCATTAGCAACGGTTAATGCAGAATAAGCACCAGATTTACCCAAGCCAAGAGATACGACCAGTGGGAAAGGTTTAAAGGCTTGTATATTACCTGTATAAATGAAAGCTTTAGGTTTATCATTTGTTAAAGTTTTGAAAGACTTAGCAGCTTCTTGAATCGCCAATAGGGCACTTGTAACATTGATAGTTTGATCAGATTCAACTTCTTGAACTGTTAATTTCAAAAACTCCTCTCCATTTGGGGTAAAGCGGGACATAGCAGAAGCATTATAAACAACAACATTTGGTTCACCGAATAATTCTTTAGTTTCAGAGAAAACAGCCGGAACAACTGTAGTGTCTCCTAGATCACCTTTAAAATGAAAATGCGTTTCACTCGTAGCATTAGATAGTGTCAATTTATCACTTCTTGAAACAGTAACAACTTTGTAACCATTTTGTAAAAATTTTGTGAAACATGAGCACCAACTTTGGCACCAGCACCGAAGATAATTGCAACGTTTGAAGTCATTTCAGATAATTTATGGTATTGTTAATTGGATATAAGACTTGAATGATATAATCAGAAAATAAATTTAGCACATTTATAAAATTGTGGGAATCATCACTTCTTTATAACTTTCCTTTGGGTATAACTGATCCTCGATTTCAGTCAAATGGGGATTATCACCACATATAGATACCACATAACTGTATAATAACCAAACAATCGATAACTGCGTTTAAATCCCCCTGGAGGCCGTCAAATTTGTCAAAAGTTTTTGGTTTTTAAAGTTACCAAATCGATAAAGAATTCTTTACAGATTACATGTTTACGAAGGTTAAAAGTTTATCCGCTTTAGAGACACGTATTCCCATGACAGCAGATATTACCCGGAGCTCCAGTATCTAAATTTTTTTTTTATGTAGTATAAGCTCATCTCATCTCTATAGTAAATAAAAGTAGAAAGCCTGAGTATATCTTGAAATTAAGGTTTCTGGTTGTAATTAAAACTTTTCAATATGGTTCTTAAATCAACATATGCTGGTGATGTCTCAGTTTATCAAGTTTCAGGGGCTAATGTCTCTAGATCTTTACCAGATTGGATAGCTAAAAAGAGAAAGAAGTCATTAAAAAATGATTTAGAATATCAAAATAGAATAGAATTGATTCAAGATTTTGAATTTAGTGAAGCTTCAAATAAAGTTAAAGTTAGTCCTGATGGTCAATATGCGATGGCTACAGGTACTTATAAACCACAAATTCATGTTTATGATTTTGCAAATTTATCATTAAAATTTGAAAGACATACAGATTGTGAAAATGTTGATTTTGAAATATTATCAAATGATTGGACTAAATCTGTTCATTTACAAAATGATAGAAGTATAGAATTTCAAAACAAAGGTGGGATGCATTATAGAACAAGAATACCTAAATTTGGTAGAAATTTAGCTTATAACTCTGTTAATTGTGATTTATACATTTCTGCAAGTGGTAATGAATTATACAGATTAAATTTAGATCAAGGAAGATATTTAAACCCATTTATTCTTGATGTTGATGAATCAAAAGGATCAGGTGCTAATCATGTCAGTTTCAGTACAACAAATGGTCTTATAGCTGCTGGGTTAGAAGATGGTACTGTGGAATTTTGGGATTCAAGAGCAAAATCAAGAGTTGCAAAATTATCATTACCAACAAATAATTTTAGTGATCAAGGATTTCAAGTTTCAACAACAAGTTTCAAAAATGATGGATTAAATTTTGCATGTGGTACATCAACTGGTTATTCATATTTATACGATTTAAGAAGTTCAACACCAACATTAGTAAAAGATCATGGTTATGGATTTGATATTAAAAAATTCATTTGGTTAAATGATAATAAATTCTTAGCATCAGATAAAAGAATTGCTAAAATATATAATCAAAATGATGGTAAATTATATGCATCAATGGAACCAAGTGTTGATATTAATGATATTGAACATATTCCAGATACTGGTATGTTTTTCACAGCCAATGAAGGTATTCAAATGCATACATATTATATACCGAACTTGGGTCCAGCTCCAAGATGGTGTTCATTCTTGGATAACATTACTGAAGAATTGGAAGAAAAACCAGCAGATTCAGTTTATTCCAATTATAGATTTATTACTAGAGATGATGTTTCTAAATTGAATTTGACCCATTTGGTCGGTACAAAAGTTCTTAGATCTTATATGCATGGTTTCTTTATTAATACAGAATTATATGATAAGGTTAATTTAATTGCTAATCCTAATTCATATAGAGATGAAAGAGAAAGAGAAATTAGAAAAAGAATTGAAAAAGAAAGAGAATCAAGAATTAGAACAACAGGTGCTGTTACTGCAACCAAAGTTAAAGTTAATAAAGATCTTGCAGAGAAATTGGCTAAAAAATCAGGTTCTCAAGCTACAGAAAGTATTATTAATGATGATCGTTTCAAAGAATTATTCGAAAATCCAGAATTTCAAGTTGATAAAGAATCTTTCGAATATAAACAACTTAACCCTGTGGAATCGACCACTGATGGTGATTCTAAACGTTCTAGAGCTTTAACAGCTGCTGAAGAATCAGATGAAGAAAGAATCAAGAGAGCTAATGGTGAAGATCAAAGTTCAGATGATGAAGATAGTGAATCAGAAAGTGAATCAAGTGATTCAGAAAGTGAAGATGAAAAAGATTCAAATAAAGAACAATTAGATAGATTACAACAATTAAAGATTAAAAAGCAATTAGATGCAGTTAAAAGAAAGAAAGAAGCTAAAGATAAATCTGATAAATTCTTAAATGAAATGAGAACTTATGCAACTGATAATAATAATGGAGGTATTCAAAAAAATCAAGTTTCATTTGATAAACAATTACAACGTATTAAGAATAAACAAGAAAGAGAAAATTCTTCAAAGAAGAATGAAGTTTTAAGAAGACATGCAAGAGGTGAAGCTGAATTAACATTTATTCCAAAGAAATCATCAGATAAAAAACCAAAGAAACAAGTTTCATTTGATAGTGATGATGAAGATGAACAAGATGCTGAAAGTAAACATGGTAGAACAAAACAAAGATTTGATGGTCGTAGAAGAGCTAGTAAGAATGCATTCCGTGGTATGTAAAAAAATTTATACATAGATACAAATTAATATAAAATCAAATTTGCATATAGTTAGAAAAGACCTTTTAATGTAAGGATATATATATATATATATATATATATATATATATATATATATATATATAT